TCAAATGTTGCTGGATTCTGTTACCTAGTACTTCATTAGGGAATTTTGTATACATGTTCATGAAGAATACTTGTCTGCAATTTTCTTTCCTTGTGACATGTTCACCTGGTTTTGATATCTGAGTAATATTGGTCTCATAAAATGTGTTACAAATTGTTTCCTTTTTATTTCCCAAAAAACAAACTGTAGGATTGGTAATCCCTCTTCCTTAAATGAAGCCATCCAGGCCTGGGTTTTCCCTTTTGAAAAGATTTCTAATTACCAATTCATTTTAGTCACATTATTTTTCTTCATTTATTATTGTTCTATTGATATTTTCTCTTTCTTCTTGAGTCAGTTTTGTTAATTTGCATCTTTCTAGTAATTTGGCCATTTAAGTTGTCTAATTTATTGGCATAAAGTCATTCATAATAATTCCTTATAATACTTTTAACTTCTGTAGAGTTGGTAATGATATCCTATCTTTTATTCCTAATTTTGGTATCTGTGTCTTTTCTCTATATTTTTTCCTTGATCAGAATAGCTAACAGTTTATCAATTGCATTGATTAAAGAACAATTTTATTGTTTCAAAGAACCAACTTTAGTTTTACTGATTTTCTCTATTGTTTTTCTGTTTTCTGTTTCACTGATGTTTGGCTCTGATCTTTATCATTTCCTTCTTTTTTCTTTTTTTTTTTAAGAAACGGAAGTCTTCAAATTCCCATTAACGATAGACTGGATAAAGAAAACGTGGTACATTTACACCATGGAACAGTATGCAGCCATAACTAGGTACGAAATCATGTCCTTTGTAGGGACACTGATGGGAGCTGGAAGCCATTATCCTCAGCAAACTAACACAGGAACAGAAAACCAAACACCACACCTTCTCACTTATAAGTGGGAGCTGAACAATGAGAACACATGGACACAGGGAAGGGAACAACACACACTGGGGCCTGTTGTGGGAGTGGGGGAGAGAGAGCATCAGGATAAATAGCTAATGCATGTGGGGCTTAATACCTAGGTGATGGCCTGAGAGGTGCAGCAAACCACCATGGCACATGTTTACTTATGTAACAAACCTGCATGTACTGCACATGTATCCTGGAACTTAAAATAAAAATAAATTTTAAAAAAAGATAAGAAAAAATGCTTATGTATAATACAAAATTCAGTTTAAAAGTTTGACTATATTATGTACTCGTGAGGAAATTTGTCTCTTTAGTTCACTGTTATTTACAGTATCTAGATTACTGCCTGTTACTTGGCAGATGCTTAATAAATGTTTGTCAAATGGATTTTTTAAATGTAACTTTTTTTCCCTCAAAATCCAAATACAAACATGGTGGGGGGGATCTATCTTAAATAAAAGCAAGAAATTAATCATAAAAAAAGAAATGGGGGTCTTGCTCTGCCACCTAAGTGGAGTACAGTGGTGCAATCCTGACTCACTGCAGGCTCAAACACCTAGGCTCAAGTGATCTTTCTGCCCCAGCCTCTCAAGTAGTTAAGACTATAGGCACATACCACAACACCTGGCTAATTTTTTTTTTCTTTTTGTGAGATGAGATCTCACTCTGTCATCCAGGCTGAAGTGCAATAGCACGATCAAGGCTCACTGCAGCCTTGACTTCCTGGGCTCAGGTGATTCTCCCACCTCAGCCACCCTAGTAGCTGGGACTACAGGTACATACCACCACGCCCGGCTAATTTTTTTGTATTTTTTGTAGAAATATGGTTTCACCATGTTGCCTAGGCTGATCTTGAACTCTCGGGCTCAAGCCATCCACCTACCTCGGCCTCCCAAAGTGCTAGGATTATAGGCATGAGCCACTGCACTTGGCCATTCAAAAAAAAATTTTTTTTTTTTAGAGACAGGGTCTCACTATGTTGCCCAGGCTGGTCTTGAACTCCTGGCCTCAAGTGATCCTCCTGTCTTAGCTTATCAAAGTGCTGGGGATTACAGGTTTGAGCTACCAAGCCTGGTCATCATTTCTTTCTATCTGCTTGATTTGGATTATTTGCTTTTTTTGTTTGTTTCTTTAGGTAAAAACTTAGGTTGTTTTTCTTTTCTATAGGCATTTAAAACTTTAAGTTTCCCTTTCAGCACTGCTGTAACTATATTGTACACATTTCAAAATATTTTCTATTTTCCCTTGTGATTTCATCTTTAACCCATGGGTCATTTAGTAGTGTGTTTTAAAATTTCCAAATATTTTTATATTGACTACCTTTATTTCTATTGTTGACTTCTAATTCTACTGTGATCAGAGAACATACTTTTAATGATTTCAATCCTTTTACATTTATGGAGAATGTTTTACATGCATTTGCAAAGAATATATATTCTGCTACTGTGGGTAAAGTGTTTTATAGGTACTTTTTATGTCAAGTTAGTTGACAGTGTTGTTCAAGTTTGTATCCTTACTGATCATCTTTCTACATTTTCTATCAATTATTGAAAGTAGGGTATTGAACTCTCCAACAGTTGTTGAATTGCCTATTTCTCCTTTCAATTTTGTAAGTCTTTACTTATGTGTTTTGAGGCTTTGTTATCAGCAACATTAGTTTCCTAGAATTGTCCTAACAAATTACCAACACTAGGTAGCTTAAAACAATAGAAGTTTATTGTCTTATGTTTCTGGAAACTGTAAGTCCAAAATCAGGGTGTCCACAGGGTCATGCTCCCTTTGAAGGTTCTAAGGAAGAATTCTTCCTTGCCTCTTCTCATGGCCCCAGCAGTACTTAGTTGTGGCAGCACAACTCCAATCTCTGCCTCCATAGTCAGATCACTGCCTTCCCTGTGACTTTCTGCGTGTCCTCTCCTCCTCTTATAAGGTCACCAGTCATTGCATTTAGGTCCCTCACCCCACTCAAGTATGATCTTATCTTAACTAATAACATCTGCAAAGATCCTATTTCCAAATAAGGTTACATTCTGAGGTTCTGGGTGAACATGAATTTCAGGAAAGATATTGTTCAATCCACTGCAGTGTGAATACATTTATACTGACATTTATATCTTTCTGACAGATTGACCCTCTTATCACATGAAATATTCCTCTTTGTCACTAGTAATATATCTTGAAATCTATTTATCTGTGTTTTACTAGCTTTATAAAACCAACAAAAAAAGCATTATATATCCTTTCATGTTCTGGGAGAGATTATTATATATGGTATGAGACTCACTCATGCTACCTATAACAATATATAATAATACATATAATAATCTTGTTTAAGAAAGAAATTACAAAAGTTTTTCCTTTTTCTTTTACTTTTTGTTTGTTTGTTTGTTTTTACTTCTTGAGTTAGTCTTCGCAATTTAGAGGTAATATAGGGTATTTCTCAATAGGAGTTCTATTAACATTTTTTTTTTCTTTTTTGAGAGGGAGTCTCCCTCTGTTGCCCAGGCTGCAGGGCAGTGGCACCATCTCCGCTCACTGCAACCTCCACCTCCCGGGATTGAGCAATTCTCCTACCTCAGCATCTGAGTAGCTGGGACTACAGGGTACACCACCATGTCTAGCTAATTTTAGTATTTTTAGTACAGATGGGGTTTCACCATGTTGGCCAGGTTGGTCTCAAACTCCTGACCTCAGGTGATCCACCCACCTCAGCCTTTTTTTTTTTTTTTTTTTTTTTGGAGATAGCATCTTGCTGTAGCACTCTGGCTGGAGTGCAGTGGTGCCATCTCAGCTCACTGCAATCGCTGCCTCCCAGGTTCAAGCACTGAGCAATCCTCTTGCCTCAGCCTCCTGAATAGCTGGGACTACAGGTGTGCACCACCACACCTGGCTAATTGTTGTATTTTCTGTAGAGACGGGGTCTCACTATATTGCTCAGGCGCTTTTTTTTTTTTTTTTTTTTAAATAGAGACAGGGTTTTACTATGTTACCCAGGCTGGTCTTAAACTCCTGGCCTCAAGCAATCTTCCCTGCCTCAGCCTCTCAAAGTGCTAGGACTAACAGGCATGAGCCACTCTGCCCAGCCTGGGTCAGTTCTTTATTTTTTAGGATCATCACTCCTACTATAGGACACTTAATATTTTAAGCCTCTATCCACTAAATGTCAGTAACTCTCCTTAGTCTTTATAACAACCAGATTCATACCCGTGAGGGTGGGGGAGTCATTCAAGAACCAATGACATAGTTAAGAGAGTAACTGCTTGGGCTTAAATACAAGCTCTGACACTAATTTTGTTAAATATTTTTCTATTGAATTTTGTTGTTGTGATTAGCTGATACATACAAAATTCTTAGAATAGTACCTAGAACAGAGCAAGTGCGTGATAAATATTAACAAGTATTATTCCACAAATTCTGTCATCTTAACAAGTTTTTATATGGCAGGACAATATTTCTGAAATATTGACTTATTTTTCTTGTACAAATTCACTTTTTCCTTGCCCTTTCCTTCCATAGTCCCTTTAATCGGCTAGATAGCTATGACCTCGCTGCTATAGGGGAGAGATAAACCATATTTAAAGACATAAAAATGATGTATTCATAAACTTTATTTCTAAAACTGTAAGCCTTTATGGGAATAGAGAAAGTTCCATACATACATAAAATATTTGGGAGAAACATAACTAAAAAGAACTGGGCTTTGTTATCTCCCCGTTAATTTTTTTTTTTAATTATTTTTTTTCTCCCCGTTATAATAAGCCTAGAAAGAAATTTCCCCAGACTGAGGAAGAAGACAATATGGTGGGAAAGGGATAAGAGTACAGAAATTGACAGATCCTTAAAAAATGAATTCTATGCCCTGATTCATGGAGTAGCAAAGCAGCAGTAAAAGTCCATACAAACATGAGGGCTCTAAGGCAGGGAGACGAGGAGGGTTAAATCCTGAACCTTGGGTAAATAATATGATACCAAAGAAGAAATGACTGGGAGATAAGACTATGCTGACCAGGCTTTAAGAAGTTGCCTTGCATTTCATATGTAAGCATAGCAGTGAAGGCGTAGAATTATGTATATGCCCCTACATGTAATGTGGAATAAAAGAACATACCTGAAGGTACCAGACAAACAGGAATGACAACATCTTAGTGGCAAATGGTGTGGACCAGTGACTGAGGACCAGAAAGGATGATGGACATCTCAGAAGATACCTGCAAGAACAGGTAACATTGAGGACTAGGTGAATATGAGTACCTTCTCCCTATCTTTGTCTTAGTAACACAGAGATCACTCCCACTTCATAATCAGACTCGAAGTATGAAACTCCAAACTGACTGAGATCAGGTTTCCATCCCCCTCCAAAGAACGGAGACTTTGAAAAGAAAGTAAGATAGCCGGGCATGGTGGCTCATGCCTTTAATTCCACTTTGGGAGGTCAGGAATTCGAGACCAGCCTGGCCAACATGGTGAAACCCCGTCTCTACTAAAAATACAAAAATTAGCCAGGTACAGTGGTGGGTGCCTATAATCCCAGCTACTCAGGAGGCTGAGGCAGGTGAATTGCTTGAACCCGGGAGGCGGAGTTTGCAGTGAGCCGAGATCACACCACTGCCCTCTAGCCTGGGCGACAGAGTGAGACTCCATCTCGAAAAAAACCAAAAAATAAAAAATAAAAAGATGATTCATATAAAATTAGAGTAACATTTCTTGTATAATTTTGTGGACATAGATCTACCCATATGCACAGAGTTGTTCATATAATTGTAAGTTTTTAAAGCTACGTATCAGTTGACATAGCCCCTTTTTACTTTTGTTCATATCTCCTTTATTTATTTTTATTAGATTTTTAAAGATTTAATCAGTTTGTTGGGATTTTTGAAAAACTCAATTATTAGATGTATAGTCTACTCTTCCTGTCTCTTAAAAGTCACTAAGGTTTTTATCTTTATTATTTCCTTTATTCTGCTTTCCTTTGAGTTGTATTTCAGTTGTTTCTTTCTAGTTTATTGACTGGATAAATTCTGTTTTCCTAATTGGACCATGAATGATACAGATGGTAAATTCATTTTATAGCTTAAATGAGCAAATACAATTTTTATAACATGTATGGCATGATATGGCATGTATATATGGCAGAAACTTGATAGCTGTCAGAGTTAAAATTTATCTTCAGGACTATTAAACAAATTCTTGGTAGTAAATACTTACTAAGAACACTTCTTCCATTACTTGGCAAACATTCAAAGAAGTACTTTAGTCATGATTAGAAGAAATAGAGCAAATATGCACTTAAGACCTTTGTCCACCAACCTAAGGTTTTTTCTTACTTGTACTACTGAATTATCTGAAATGTAAATATTATTTGGCCATTTCTCCTTTATCCGACTGAGGATGGTAATGACTACTTTAAATTCTCAAAATACTCTGTGGCAAAAAGACTATTTCCTGTCAAGTATTCCTGTTAAATATCATTATACATTATGTCCTATACTTTCTTTTCATTATAACAAATCCAAAGTATATTTGGATTTTTAACTTTAATTTCTATATTATCCTAAAATAAAGCTTAGATATTACCAATTAAAGAAGTGAAGTAAAAACGAAAAGCTTATCTTACAAGCAAGAGGCAAAATATACTGTAAGTCTTACAGAATAAGTATCTTCTAAATTCTAGCCCAGGTGTCTCATAGGCTAGATGAAGAAACAAAGGCCTAGATAGGATAACTAGCTCAAGATTAAAGGTCAAAAACAGAAGTTGGCCAAAAATTGGATTCCTTTTTTTGTTTTGAGATGGAGTCTCACTCTGGCACCCACGCTGGAGTGCAGTGGCACGATCTTGGCTCACTGCAACCTACACCTGCTAGGTTCAAGCAATTCTCCTGCCTCAGCCTCCCGAGTAGCTAGGACTACAGGTACATGCCACTATGCCCAGCTTTTTTTTTTTTTTTTTTTTGTATTTTTAGTAGATGTGGGGTTTCACCATACTGGCCAGGCTGGTCTCGAACACCTGACCTTGTGATTCGCCCACCTCAGCCTCCCAAAGTGCTGTGATTACAGGTGTGAACCACCGCGCCCGGCTCCAAAAAACTGGATTCTTATACTCAAAAGCACTCTTTTATTCTGCTCTGTTATTACCTTTTACACTGATTATATAAGGGTCTCATGGAACAAAAAATATAAAATTTGCTGAGAGGTTGGGCTCGTTTGGTGCGGTGGCTCCCGCCTGTAATTCCTGCACTTTGGGAGGCTGAGGCAGGCAGATAACTTGAGGTCAGGAATTTGAGATCAGCCTGGCCAACATGGCGAAACCCGGTCTCTATTAAAAATACAAAGAAATTAGCTAGGCGTGGTGGCACACACCTATAATCCCAGCTACTCAGGAGGCTGGGGAAAGAGAATTGTTTGAACCCGGGAAGCAAAGGGAGGTTGCAGTCAGCTGAAATCGCATCACTGCACTCCAGCCTGGGCGACAGAGCAAGACTCTGTATAGAAAAAAAGAAAAAATGCCCCCAGAAATCCGACCGTAGAACAGGTGCTACAATAAACATCAACTAAACATCGTCTGTTTTTAAAAACCCAAAGAACAGAAGAAAGGAAAGAAAATAAAGATAAGAGCAGAAATTTGAGGAAATAGCAGAAGAGACAATGGACAAAATCAATGAAGCCAAAAAATGGTTCTTAAAAAGACCTAGAAAAGACATACAATCTCTGGCATGATTAAGAAGAAAGAAAGAAGGCAAAAAACAAATATTAGGAACAAAAAGGAGGACAAAATTATGTATCCAGCAAGGATTTAAAAGAAAATAAGTGTATGTTATGAGCAATGTAGTGGCCAAAAAAACCCACAAACAACAACAACAACAACAACAACAACAACAAAACCCACAAAACAATGAAAGGAAAACTTAGGTAAAGCTGATTAACTCCCAGAAATATGTAATTTAACCAAAACGAAATGAGAAAAAATTAAATATTTGAATAGTCTTATAGTCACTAAAGAAACTGAATCCATAGTTAAAAATATTTCTGCAAAGAAAAAAACAAAAATACCAGGCCCAAATGGTTTTTATAGGTGAGTACCAACAACTTTTCAAGAAACAGATCATTCCAATCTTATAAATACTCTTGAAAGAACAGAGAGAAAGGATCATATAATCTTTTTTCTCCCCACAGGTTATTGGAGAACAGGTGGTGTTTGGCTACATGAGTAAGTTCTTTAGCAGTGATTTGTGAGATTTTGGCGCACCCATTACCCAAGCAATATACACTGCACCCAATTTGTAGTTTTATCTGTCACCCCTTCCCACCCTTTGTCCCTAAGTCCCCAAAGTCCATTGTGTCATTCTTACGTCTTTGCATTTTCATAGCTTAGCTCCCACTTAAGGACCATTTAATCTTGATACCAAAACCATATAAGATTTTCAAGAGAAAGACAAACTACAGGTTCTTCTTATGAAAAAAATCTGAAAAAAAAAATACTAGCAATCCAAACCCAGTAATGCGTTAAAAAAGATAATATATCATAATTATGTTGTTTATCCCAGTAAAGCAACATTAAAAAAATTAATGAACACAATTCACCATAAAAAAACTAAAAGAACAAAACTTTATGACCAAGAGATATCAAAAATTAATAAAAGTCAATGGCTATTTATTTTTAAAAACTTTTTTTTTTTTTTTTTAAGACAAAGTCTTGTTTTGTCACCCAGCCTGGAGTGTAGCGGCATGATCTCAGCTCACTTAGCCTCAATCTCTTGGGCTCAAGTGATCCTCCCACCTCAGCCTCCTGAGATTACAGATGGGCACCACCATGCCCAACTGATTTTTAATTTTTTTTTGTAAGGACAGGATCTCACTATGTTGCCCAGGCTGGTTTTGAACTCCTGGGCTCAAGGATCCTCCTCCCTCAGCCTCCCAAGGTGCTGGGATTACAGGTGTGAGCCACTGTGCCCAGCAAAAATTCTTATCAAAATAGGAATAGAAGAGAACTTTAAAAACATCTCCATAAATGGTATCTACAGAAAGCATCCTTCTTAATGATAATATTTCAGAAGCATTTCCTTTAAAATAGGCAATCATTCCCACTATTATTGTTTCTACTGTACTAGATATCCTTTTAATAATTCAAAAGCAGTATAAAGATTAGAAAGATGCCATTATTAAACAATAATATGACTGTCTACCTAAGAAAACCCCAAAGAATATGCAAATTATTAGAGATAACAAGATATTTAAACACATGGCTGAATATAAAATCAATTTACAAAGCTATTAAATTTCCAATAGCAAGCAACCGATGGTTAGAAAATATTACTTATAATAGCAACAACAAAAAAGATACTCAAGGCCGGGTGCAGTGGCTCATGCCTGTAATCCCAGCACTTTGGGAGACCGAAGCAGGTGGATCACTTGAGGTCAGTTCAAGACCAGTCTGGCCAACACGGTGAAACCCTGTCTCTACTAAAAATACAAAAATTAGCCAGGCATTGTGGCATGTGCCTGTAATCCCAGCTACTCAAGAGGCTGAGGCAGAAGAACTGCTTGAACCCAGGAGGTGGAGGTTGCAGTGAGCCGAGATCGCACCACTGCACTCCAGCCTGGGTGAAAGAGCCAGATTCTGTCCCAAAAAAAAGAAAAAAAAAAAAAGAAAGAAAGAAAAGAAAAAAGATACTCAAGAATAAATATAATTAACAAAAGATGTGCAATGATTATATTGATAAAATTATGAAATTTTATTGAAGGATATTAAAGAATTCTAAAACAAATGAAATGTGATTTTTTTACACTGTTATTAAAAAAACTCACTGTTGTAAAGATGTAAATTCTACCATGAATAATCTATAGTTTAAATTTGATTATGTTCAAAATCCCAGCAGGTTTTTTCATAGAATTTAACAAGCTGCTTCTAAAATTTATGTGGAAGAGGAAAGGGAAAAAATGGCCAACAAGATACCAAATGCTTAGGCAAACTCCCAACCATATATCAAGATTTTTATAAAACCAGAATAATTAAGACTGTGTGGCTATATGACTGTGTACAGACAGTCATATAAATGAATGAAACAGACTACAGAGCACAGAAACAGACTCCAGTATTGGTGGTGAAAATTGGTGTGGTTAGTTTTCTATTGTTGTTTTAACAAATCACCACAACCCCGACCCCCTGCCCCCACTCCCACAACACATATACACACAAATTTCTCTTGCAGCT